AATTAGAAATATCTGTTTTTTATAACGTCAATTAAATATTTAATTAATACACTTAAACATGTATGTATATATACACATGTGCTTGAAAAAACCATACCACTTAACCCACATCTTGCTTCAAGAGTGACTAATTTGAGCATGCTTGGAAACTGATCCGTATGGGTCTAAAAAAGGTCAATTTATTTCAAGTGATTTAGAGAGTATTTCAGGAGTGGAAAATATTTTTTTTCGCATCCTGTAGCTAAACCGGTTTTTAATATAACTTTTTATTTAATGTCCGACCTCTGTAAGTTATACATTGTTATAGAGGTATTTGAATTGAATTTTCGAACCTTAAAAAAAATATTGCAAACTTTAATTTAAAAATAACTTCAGATTTAATAATTTTTTTTTTAGTTTAAAAATTCATATCTTAAAAAACACCTTGAAAATTTTCAGGATCTTTTAAAATCAGTTGTAGGTATTGCAAAACAAAATTTTATCAAATTTTTACAAGTTTTTGCGTTTAAAATTTGTTTAATTTAAAAATTCTGTAAATTTTATCTTTATAATCCCAAAAATCATCACCAAACGAGACCGAAATAATCTATGTAACTATAAAAGTTTTTGAGATATTCCAAAAATAATCTTTATATGATAAAAAAAAGTTCTGATTCATCCAAATCAAAAATGGTCGATTCCAACCCGTGGTCGGTTTGTCATGGATTAAACCATATTCGTTTAAGTTACTTCTGTTTATCAATAAAATAGTAAATAACTTACAACAAAACATTTTATCATATTTACAAACAAACAAATGCCGCAGAGCTAATGAGTATTTAGACAGCCGGGGCAATGATCTCTTAACTTCCGCATTTGGCTTGAGACACAGTGCACAGTGGTTCAAAATTGGAATTTACTGTTCATAATTCACTTCAGCCTTTATTTTTGAACCAATTTGATATTTTTTTTTTAATGAAAGTTTATAAAATTAACAATAGACCAGTTGAATTTTTATTTGTTAATTTTAAATTTTTTTAGCGCGAAGTGTAGAAAAAGTAGCAATTTTGAAGAAAATCCAGAAGAATAAATCCAGTTAATAAATGTTTCATAATAAAAACTATTCGAAAATAATTGTAGGGTTACCCCAAAATAAAAGTCACAAGAAAAATTTGAAATGTTAAAAAAAATCACAAAAAAAACCTTTCTTACTAAAATTTAACAATTATAAAACTGAATACCCAAAATTTCCCTATAAACGAAGAAAAATTTGAATTTTGGTGAATTTTTTTTATAACATTAAAAATTTTCCTTCCCCATAATTGTTTTCAAATATTTTTTATTATGTAACATTTATTAATTGGAGCAGGAGAATCGATTTTCTTCAAAATTGCTACTTTTTCTGCACTTTGTGATAAAAGATTTAATTTAATCAAATAAAAATTCAAAACCGTACAACTGGTCTCTGAAAAATTTTATAAGCTTTTTGAACCACGGTGTACTGGTGGCGTGGCTTATCTTTTATTCAATGGAAGTCGTGCGTTGTCCATTAAACGCAAATGCGAATGGGCGTGCGCGAACACAGCTGCAGAAAAGGAAAACAAGAAAATAGTACTTTAATATTGCTGACAACAGACAACAGAAAAAAAAACGGCAATGACAACGGAAATACAAACGTTGTCCAACAAATACATAGTGAATGTTGCTGCCTCACAGTCTCCTTAAGTGAATTGGGTCGTCAGAATAGAGCAGCATTTGCATATTTACATAAGTACATACACGGACTTTATGTTTGGCGATGGGATGGGAGCGACGATAGCGGCAGTGGCATCAACATCGGCGGCCTATTGCCATTGATGTTGCTCAACAGCCGCTGTTGCTGCTGGCTCGTCATTGGGCGTTTCTGTTGTGTCATTCAAATGTCAAAGAACTTTGCACTTTGCAATATTTTTCTTTTCATATTTTTCTCCTAATAAGTATTCTTTTTATATTTTGTAATTTCTTATGCTTCTGTTTGATTCTTTTGTTATTTCTTAATTTGCTTTTATTAATTTTCAGATACACAGAGCATCATCGATGAAGGTAAGCTGCGCACTAGGATACAGAGAATTGTCAACAATTCAAAACAAAAAATTCTTTGAGTCTTTCAAGTATTTTGGTCGATTTGTTCTAACTAATGCCAACTTGTGTAGACATGTACATATCCATGTCCGTATGTATTGACTAATATGTTTTGAATGCTCTCGATTAACTGCATTGGTTGCTGGTTTTTGATTGCTCTGATGGGTGATTGTGTTACTTAGGTGATCTGGGCGTTATAACAAGTGTTCTGTCAGAAATTGGCACAATTTGCACCTCCACCTGGGCGACTGTAGACGTCATGATTGATTCTTTAAATCTGTGAAATTGTGCCAATTTTGCCACACTCACCAGTTTGTGTTGTTGTTGTCTTTACATTCGTACAATTAATAGCATTTCATTTCGATTTGTGTTCCCTTTTATTTGTCCTCGTTTTTACTCTCATTTTGTGTTGTCCTCTTCAAGCAAGTCTCTATTTGCATCACTTATGTATAAGAAAATGTGACTTATCATATATATTGACTTCATTGTAACCATGTCGCCTCATGTGCAGCAGTAAAATTATGTCCTTTGCTGTTGTTGTTATGGTCTTGCTACTTATTATTATTTATAAAAAAACACATTAAAATCATTTCATCAAATAGTTTTCTTACAATTTATTAACTAACATTTTCTCCTTACCTTCGTATTTTTCTAGGTGAACGGTGATGAGAGTTGGCAATATGAGGATATAACATTGGAGCGTGGCAATTCTGGGCTTGGATTTTCGATTGCAGGCGGTACAGACAATCCTCACATCGGCACGGACACATCCATCTATATAACGAAACTTATAGCGGGCGGTGCCGCCGCAGCCGATGGCCGTTTGTGCATTAACGATATCATTGTATCGGTGAATGATGTTTCTGTGGTTGATGTGCCACACGCGTCCGCTGTGGATGCGCTTAAGAAGGCCGGCAATGTGGTAAAATTGCATGTGAAAAGAAAACGTGGTGGTGGCGGCGGTGGCGGTGCTGGTGACGCTACTGCCGCCTCATCGGCCACCTTGCCGCGGAGTGCTGCCGCTGCAGCGGCTGCTGCTGCCGGTCCGAAAGTGGTCGAGATCGATTTGGTGAAAGGCAGCAAAGGTTTGGGCTTTTCCATTGCCGGCGGTATTGGTAATCAACATATACCGGGCGATAACGGTATCTATGTGACGAAAATCATGGAAGGCGGTGCCGCCGCGGTTGATGGACGCCTGTCGATCGGCGACAAACTGATTGCGGTGCGCACAAATGCGGTATGTATATGTTATTTGTTACTAGTGGCGCATTTTTCTCATAAATATATTGCATATTTCTTTCACAGGCCGAAACCAATTTGGAAAATGTGACACATGAGCAAGCGGTTGCCACACTCAAGTCAATTACGGACAAAGTAACGTTGATCGTTGGCAAGACGCAACATCAAGTCAGCTCATCACAGTCACAATTCGGGCAGATTAATTCGCATTCAACAGGTGCGATTAATAATATTGGAAAAACTGTTGTTGATTTTGCTCGTTCACCATCACCCTCAATCACCACCACCACTATCACCACGAACAACAACAATGCCACGAGCAACACAACTATCACTAATAACATCAACAATAATATTCAATCCGCAGTACCCGCCTCCTCCACAGCAGCTGGTGTTGTAGCATCAACATCCAGATCCCATTCACCTTTGCCTCGTAAGACAAACTGCATACATACTGCATACTCGTACAAATATACATACATACATACAAGCACAATACGTTATATAAACAGCACACGTGCTAGTCTTAGACTCAGCGATAAATCACCTCAAGCTAATTTCTTTAAAATGAAAATTAGCACACATTTGCAAAATTATTGCTACATGTTACTTATATTTAGGTCTATGTATGTATGTGTATAAATATTTAAATTTATGCACATTTAACCATAGTCATCTAAACAAATGTGTTCCGGGGAGTGATTGCTTTCATCAGATATACAAAGATTTTGGCATCTGTATGCAGAAAGGCGCTTAGTTACAAATCAAAGAAGCTAAATGAACAGATGACCACTTAAAACTTGTCGAACTATTGTTTAGAATATTACACTTATTCTTACGCATTTTCTGAGATTAAGTATTTTAAAAAACTTTGAAGAACATTTTTTTATAATTGTCTGAGAAATTCATTACCCCGACCTCCTCCCTAATGCCAGTCCTGTTAATGAAAATTATACTGGTCTTTAAAATGACTTAAGTATAAAACTATTTTGCCAATACATCACTAAAAAATTCGTTATGTCTGCCAGTAAATTTCATTTCAACGAATTGTTTATTTTTGTGAATGTAACTCGTCTGCAAAATTAAGAAAAAAACCTTCCAAGAGCCCTTATTTAGGATAGCGGGATGCAACTATGTAATATTGATGCGCCTAAAAGATGCAGCGATTTCTATTCTCAAGTTACATACCTGATGGCAATACGAATGGGAATTTGTTTAAACTTCCATTCTTAAAGTAACCTGATAACAGTACGAATGGAAATTTTAATAGCGAGGTTTTAGTTTTTTAAACTATAAATATTTTATTTGTATAGAATGGCCAAAGTTTCAAGGCATTCTCATTGGCTATTGGAAGATCTACTACCAAGAAAATATTTCCCGGGAGCGTTTATTTAGAAACGTTCCTTATTTCACCCATTGAGGTATTTTTAATTTTCTGATCTTGCTTCCTTCTCTATACAAGCTTTATTACCCTTAAGTTTCTCAAAATTAAACTTATGATTGTCAGCGAGTTCTGAGGTGGAATTTAAAGCCTTTTTAATGGTGGTTTCTATATGCCATCCATACACAAGTGGAGCGAGAAATCCCCCGCGAATTCGAACAACCTACAAACTATTTTACAATGGTCCTTTTGGTCCGTTTATCCACTATTTTAGAAGAAAATACGCGCCTTCCGACGAAGTGAGCAAATGCTGCAATAAAAGACGCAGTTGTCAGATCAGAACAGAGACGTAGCCTTTTGTGAAAGTGGATGCTCTTACCACGAATGCCCATGTATAGAAATGCCCAGCAAAGTGAACACAGTGATGGCGAAGAGCAGGGCGAAATTACATTGTTTGAATCAAATAGAACTGTAAATACGAGCAATTTTTGTATCGAGCAATTTTTGGATCAAATTATTTCCCTTTGCCATCTAGGTGTCCCCCCAATTTTAGGATCGAGCATTTATTTTTCAGTGATTAATATTTTTACGATCTAAATGATATCGGGCTGTTTTAGGGCGTCAGTCAACGGATTTTTTTTTGCACAGTAGACACCAGTGGAAACATACGATATGAATTTGAGTTCCATGTGTTCAGAAGTTCTCGGGCCTAGAAGTAAAGCTCCTTTACAATTCTGAAAAAATACAACATTAAATATTTGTGCAAATAATCAAAAAAGCATTTCCATCCCATATCGAATAGTCTACATAAATATGAAATATAGCCCCATGTCTAATAAAATCTATGAGCTAAACAACTTCTTTGATGTTCGCAATCACTCCTCTTTACGCCACCGTAGCTTATTCGTCTTTAAGTAAATATTTATACACAGGCATATGTACATACGTATGTATATACAAACAGCATCCATATTTGCAAACGTATAAGGTAGCTTTTGAATTTAATGCTTCTAGCAGTTCATTCTTTTTTGTTTTCTCTTAAAGCTGAAAACTTTTATTGCACATTGGTCGCTATGCCATTTGCGCTAGTTTTCAATTTTATACATTTTTATTTATACGTATTCGCAAATATTATTTACGCATGCTAAAGTACAAATTTTATGTATGCAAATAGCTTGAAAACGCTATAATAATTTTATTTTCGTTCCAATCCGTCTAAGCCCAAAACAAATATGTACAATACAAAATTCAACTTGTTCGCTTTTCGATTGGCGTCACGTATTGTGCATTAGCGCACGCTGCGTGCATGAATTCGCCAGCGTTGCTTCATGTGTTAGCCTCTAGCAGTTTATGAAAAGTTATTGGAAATTACTTGCAACTGTACGATTTTTCTGTTCACAATATTTTTTTTTATTTGTTTGCTTTAGTTTAATGCAGCCACAAGCACGTTGCGGAAATTACGAAAAGCAATTATTTTTAAGGGGGAAAAAATTGGAACTTCCTTTCCTCCTTTCCAGCACAAATTGTTTTCTATTTATAATCTATAGCAAATACCTAAGTGAATTTTACTTTAGATTTTTTAATTCCTAAAATTTTCCAACTAGTTGTGTATAAATTTCTGTATATACATAAATATAATCATAATCAGCAAACCATTTTAATTCTTTTACCTCTTCTCATCCTACTATCTCACACATTTTTGTTTTCCAAAAACAAAAACTACCAAACAAACGAAAATACTTACAAATCGTACAAATATTCTCGTATTCTGTAATACAAATGCCATCGAAAAATGCAATGTTTGTGTGTGCGTGTTGTGTTCAATTATTCGTTGTGGTTTTTGATAATTACACGAATTATAGAACCAGCATCTAGGTATGCGTCATCGAATGTACTGGCCGCTGTGCCACCTGGAACGCCACGTGCCGTCAGCACTGAGGATATTACACGGTAAGTGCAATATTTGTAGTTCTACATGTGTGTATATGAATCGTATATATGTATGTAAGTAGTATATGTATAATACAGGTATATATGCATACTGATGATTATTTATTTATTTAGTTTACTTAAATGATTTATTTAGTTCACAAGTAGCTGTTGTTTGTATTTGTTGGTAGTTGTTGCAAATTGCAAAGTAATGGGTGTGCCGCAGGTGAACTTAAGGCTAATGACAACTTCTACTGATGATACTACAAACACGTTTTAACCCGTTGCGGTCACTCCTCCTAATAATAACGCTTTGCTTACGTGGGGTCCAGTGGACTCTAAGAAAATAATCACAAAATTACTTATATGTATTGCAGTCACCTTTGAAATTGTTGAGCTGGATAGAGTTTCAAAATCACTTCCGTTGCCACGTCTGACAGGCCTTTAGCAATCCAAGTCTTCTTTCCATTTGCTACTTTTTTGATACTTATCTACGTATTTAATTAAGCTGACTTCTGTTTCCAGTTCGGTAAACTGTACCTCTGAACTAGAGAAAAAATCACACTCCGGTCCTTCCTATCTTTAGCGGCCCTACTCTACACATTTACATATCTTACTGCAAAGGCACAACCAACGCAGAATATTTTATTATAGTAATTCTCTTGCTTAAAGGCAACTATTTTTCGTATGTACATAGCTCTTTATATATTTATTCATGCAAAGAAGCGACCTCTTTCTTCAGCACTCACACTAAAACTGCATTGTTTTCGGATTCTGTATGACATCGTCTGTGCATTTTGTTATTCTTGTTTTTTTAATACAAATAATTTTAATTAGAACTTTGCTGAGATAACCAGTCTTCAGTAAACTCGTATGTATGTATATGTATGATACATTTATTATGACAACAGATAAGAGCAAACTCAGTAAATAACTAAGGAAAACGAAACTCACAAAATTAAAATGCCATTAAAAAATTATTTTGTTGCATAATTACTTTTATTTAAAGTGATACCCAGCAAACATTGAGATTAGTTACCGATTAGAGAATGATTGGGGAACGAGCCACATTCTCCAATCTCAAACGTTAGAGAACGGCTCGAAAAACTATCGAGAATCATAGGGATCTCTACAAAGATGGGACATAGTTCTCGACTCGAGAATATATTAATTCTCTAATCGAATTCTAATGTGATTCGAATGTAAATTTCGAGCTGCTGTTTTGCTTTTTTAAAATAAAAGTTTTTGTTTGTAAAATTTGTATTAAATGTATTCGCAATAAAATAATAATGAATTATTTGAACTTAAAAATAACTTCGTCATCGATTCGAGAATTACCCTAGACATCTTATATAGAAATCTAAATTTCTCTAACGTTAGGGACTGTGTTTGCTGGGTAACCTCTTAAAAATTTCGATGTAGAAATTGGTTGGACTTAAGGTCAAACTCATGCAGAGAATCCTGATTTTTTTAAATTAAATTTTCTCGTTGATGTCTCACAAGGTTAAAAAAAAATCAGAAAATATTTCAAGTTCCAAGCTTATACGGTGACGAGAATATACGTAGAGACGTGGCGTTACTCACTTTTCCATACAAAGTATGTTCGAGATTTTATTTTTATTTAGAGAAAATGAGTAGATAACATTCAAAAAAAAAATCCAAAAATCAACCAACTCGCATCGAACCATTTCGATGGAACCATCGAATTTTCCAAATTTTGGTATGAACTTTGAAATTCGGACTTACATGTTTATTGTTTGACAACGAGCTATATTTTCCTAAAAACGATTAAGTAAACAAAAGAAAAGTAACGAAAGCTTGCGTCTCTATTTATATTTTCGCCACTGTATATATTGATGTATGTGTTTCAGGAGAAAAAGTCGTAGACGCAATTCTTTTACCATAAGCGTTAAGGGATAAGACTAAGTATACTTACTTGAAAATATTCGAATGGTTTTCGCACGTTTGACTTTTATTTCTTTGAGGTTAGGTTATTTTGGCTTAGCCGCAAGATCTATCAAGAAAATAGCGGCTTAGAAATACACCTTGGTTATGATGCACCTTTTGGGTATTTCTAACATTCTTTGTGTCTGCAATTTCCTTCAGCGAAGAGAAGAAACCAAAGCCAATGTACCCAAGATGCAATCTTTCGAAAGTTTGACAATGTCGCAGGAGACGTTTTAGTTAGTGCGGATTAAGAATTACCTTCGTCAGATGTTTTTTTTTCACTCCGTGTCAGTCCTAACTTGAACGTAAGTTCCCAAAATATTACATATCTTACAATCCAAACTTGAAAGCGTGACCTTGGCTCCCATGCAAAATGTTCACGTATCCCATAAGGTAATTGATAATCCCTGAATTCCAAAATGCAAATATACAAAGCATCAGTCTCTCTTGTTCCTTAAGTATTGTACATAGATTAAAAAGTCCAGCTTGCGCAACCTTAATTGCTATTCGCATCCAGGCGTGGTTGCGAATATTGGACAGGTCCATCTGCTGTGGATCAGAAATAATAAAAGATTGATGCATTGTATTTCTACATTTTGGAATTCAGGATATGGAGAGCTTCCCATTACCTTCTATTACTCTGTGTCTCGGCACTCGTCTATTGACGCATTGTCGAATACAAAACGAATTTACCATAATAACCATTACTGCCCTGATGTCTGGCCTCTCGGTCGATGAAAATATTTACACGTCAGTTTTGAGAAGCTGCCGACTCAGTTGCCTTAGTTGCATCCGGGAGTTTATAGTAAAGAAGTTCAAGCTCATTGGCCTGCGTAACAGCATAGTTTAGTTTAACGTTGCCTTTTAGGCCAGCAAACGATTAACTTATAATCAAAAATATTGGATGCTGGACGACGTTTAAGCCGTTTTAACTGCTAAAAATTAACTTAGTTTACTTTCGCACTATCTTCCTCTTTATTCTAATGAAGAAAGTTCAATCTCTGACGGCTGCTCTAGAAAGAATTGTTAGTCTGCCGTCCATTGACCTACTTGCGGAACGCCTTGCTGTTAAAATCGTGGCACATAATCCGTAACGTCCATTGTGGAATTCAACTGGATGTAGAACACAGCTGAATTGTGAAAAGGCGCGCAGGTAGCACAGACTATATGACACCTTGGCTGCAATAAGCACATCAAAACTTGTACAATAAAATGGAAAGGCAGTCTAGAGCTAGGTGGAACGAAATAGAAAAAATCTTCCTCTGCTACCAGCAGCGTGATCCGCGTCAAATACTTTCAGGGGTGGAACGTTTGTGTCCATTCGTACGCAATTGTACGCTCTTTGAAAAGACTTTACCTGAATGATTTGCTTTGTCAAAAGCAGCTTTAACGTGGCATAGTGATGATGTGAGGCGATGTTTTACTCGCGGGTCTTTTCCAAGGTTGGGCGTTTGTTTAATAACTGGTAAATGTTGCCCTGGAAACGTTGCATATTTTTAGGCATACATATTATTTAGAAAGAGAGCCGATGTGGCCGAGTGGTTACGAGGTACGCACTACCACTCCGTGGAACCTGATTTCGATTTAGCTTGTCGATTCTAGAGCCTACTGCTGATTTCCTTCAGACCTGAAATTCTACACCGTAGTAACGAAAAATCTACGCGAAACAGCCGCTGCCATTGTCACGAGTCCCAGTTTTTTTTATTATGTTTACGAACAGAAGCATTGTCGTTATCTTTTTGTTCTTATCAAGTGACGCACTTTAGGGGCGTTGTATGCTGATTAAACATGCGAGAATGTTAAGTAAAATATTTTTCGCGCTCGCATATCGGTATGCCCGTGAAACGCTTGACTCAGAGGCGTCACAGTGCGGCAAATTAGCATCCACTGTCTGCTGTTGACTTACTGCATAACTGGCTAAGAGTGTAGTTGACTGACTGGCTTGCCTTGCGGATGGATGATGACTACCGAATTACATACATGTATACATATAATCAGCAGCGGCGTTAACGATGCTGGCTGGGCAATGCGCGTTGCTCATTCATTTGCTAACCATATTTTGAGTGAGTTTGCATTGTTTTTGAAGGTACAAACATACATACATACGTACGTACGCATACAGGTTCATAACACGAATCGTGCATTTATCTCAGCCATGCCAAGCCAAGCCAAAAAGCAAGTAAGCTGGTTGGCAACACGCTTGTGCGTTGTGCTGCTGTGGCGACAAAGATGATCGCGTCCTCCGCGCGCGCATCTCACCTGTGCTCTCGAGCATTTTATCGCATTTAATTTGCAAGGCGCTGGTTATTGCTTAATTTCTTATTTTTATTTTTATACATATCATTTGCCTTTTGCTATTCCAGCGATAAACGTGTATTCGATTTTATTTGAAATATACTTGTACTTTTTTTCTGTATTTATTTATTTTGTGCGATACAAGTTTGGTTTGCGTTGACGCGTCTGATGCAGCTTGAACGGCGGACACAGCTGTTGCGGCATGAGCTGGCCGGGTTTGGCTTGGCCACATCGTACTGTCGTTGACTTTTAGCTATTTGCTATCCGAGCTGCAGTGAGCGCCGTCGGCGCAGCTATTGCGTTTTTTTTTTGTTTGTTAATTTTTGCGCTGCAATTGTGTTTATCGAAGGTGTTGTTCGCCGTTTTTTTCCTTCCAGTTTGCATTTTCCGTTGATTATTTCTTTTTGTTTTTATTTAATCGAAGCTTGGATTTGTTTATGCAAACGCGCGGCTTCATCGTCGTCGTTGTCGTCGTTGTCATTGCCGCTTTCGAAGCGGAATTCCGAAAATAATT